CTTATTTAATCCTCAAAAACTTGTTTTCATCAACCCCCTCTCCACTAAGTTTCTCTGCCCAAGGAAGAGAAAAGGAAACTCACCAAGAGTTTCCTGCAATCCCCCAAAGATGGCAGGATTCAGACCTCTTCCTCTCCTGCTTCCCTGCCTGACATTAGAGTGAGCCTAACTCCATCCATGGGCTTTGGGGATCCAGGAAGTCCTGCTGGTCCTGCCCTTACCTTCTCAATTAGGTTGCTTTCTCATGAGCCCTGAAGTTCCTCCTCCACATAGCTCTGATGAGGCAGGAAGGGCTCTTGGCTACCAATTCCCCTCTTCTATGGAAGCCTGAGTCTAAATGACTCATAAATACATTAAACAAATTAACATCCTGTCACCGATCATTACAGTCTATGTCAAGTGAGCTGGGAAGTGGGAAGAGTAGAATAAATCCTGATTATATGGAATTAAAGGAAGACCAAGTGGACAAAGTTTTGTTTGTCTTCTAATCCTTGATGATAGTTTCCGTTACCCCTAAATTTTCTCTCTTCCAGATGAAACAACCACAATTTCTTCAAAAACTCCTGATATGCTAAGATCCAAAGCCTTTCACCATCCTCATCACCTTCCTGGGTGGCAATAACAAGGCTCAAGAAGTCATTTCTCTTATCCTAATGATAAGGTGTTTGGGTGCTTGTACTGGAACCCCAATTTCATGACCATGTTTCTCCCTAGCCTCAGAAACACTGTCCCTGTCAGTTTCTGCTCAGCCCAAGGACACTGTGCCTAGCAATTACTCATGAGTGGGCCCCAGCAAGGCCCTTATCTCTCTCCCTGGTGCAGTTACAAACAGCATCTGAAGGAATTATCAATTTGAACTGGCTTTGCACTGAGTCATAAAGATATTCTTATGACTGCCCTACCTCATTATCTACATCCTAGACTCCTCATTATCTATATTCTAGACCTAAGATGGATGTATATTCCCTCCACCATCCCTACATCTATCTTTTCAAACAAGACATTGACTTGTAGCAGACTGGACAACTCTCAGTTACCCCTGACTGCTGGTTAACTTAGTGATGTAGCAGGCCTAAAACTAAACCTCCATGTGGCCCCCTTTGTGGGCTTTTCCTAGTGAACTCTGGGTAAAATGCCTATGCATTAGATACAAAAATTGCATGTTCCTTTAAGAACTGACCACTTCTTAACCACTCCCTAATCCCACCCTGAATCACCCAGTTAGCGTATTTGGCACATGTTTTATTATATTTTATCCTATATAACCTTTAAGTGTACCCCTCTAAGGTCGCAGGTTCCTTAAGAATCCTTGCCCGCTATATAGCGTAACAATAAATCTTTGCCAACTTGACTCAGAGAATGCTTGAGTCTGTGAATTCATTCCAGACGACACCATCCTCTGCTCCAGTCTTTGAGCAGTCTCAACCTCTCAGACCACAACACTAACATTGTCTAACATTGGGGAGGCAGGCCATCTCTTCATTATTTGTGTCCATTTGTTAAAGAGCTACTTGGAGAGGACCAGTGTCAGTTTCTGCTATTGATTATGACCAACCAAGAGTCATTATCTCTGCTTGCCTGCCAGAGAGATTGTGATAGAAACGAGTACGTATGTCCATGAATACATGTATTTGTTATAGATAGATACACATATACACATATACATACACAAAAATATTGGCAGCATATATAATAATATGATAATATATATTACTATAGTTCTGTGTGAATATATGTACATCAACATGTTTTCACATGAATATGTATGTGTATCTTTGCATTACGAAGATTTTCTGTAGTCTAAAGATGCCTATGGACTCCTCCTCTAGAATAATTTCTTAATAATATAAGAAAAAATGGAAATTCAATTAGAGGTTAGTGAAGATAAAGATAATTTCCCTCCCTGAAAGTTCACAGAACAGCTAAAAACTACTCAAGGACACTAAGTTAAGATTGCCTAGAATACATAGAAATGTATGTACATACATAAGTGGGTACGAATATGTGCATTATATTGCGTGCATATATGTGTGCATTACTATATGTTCATATATGTATATTGTATGTATATGTTTATTACTGAATAAGTGTATGTGTGTATATATCTTCATAAGTGTATATATATACTTTTTCCTTATTACCACCTTAAAATCCAGGACTCTTACCTGTACAAGCCTCACCCCAATACCCACCTGTTGTCTAGGGAAATCTGAGGCTCTTGGATTTCCACAGACAGCTGAGCCAGCAGGAGAATGTCCAATTTCACTTTCAGAAAAGTTCTGTGAGAGCTAGAAAGGGAGCTAATGAACCAGGGGGCCCACAGGGGATATTTCTTCCCTATGTTTCAGGAACCATGACTGATAACTATGCAAGGATAATGAAAAGACCAATAGATTGAAGATAATGGACCAGACCAATCCAACAATAATTCCCCTAATGCCCTTGTGGTGGTTACCTTGGTGGTTAGAGAGAATCAAAGTCTTTACCAGAGAAACACCATTTAGGAAGCTTTGCTGGACTTGAAGGCTTTGGGGATTTCATCTAGTGAGGCCAGTGTCTGGAAAATCCCCACCCTTGGTGCCTGAAAGCAAATAGAAAGTCTTTTTCTGTTGGCCTATATAATTCAGAGAAGATGGAGTGAAATATAAGGATAAGAGGGTAAGGGCCAAATCCTGCCCCTATCCCACCCCTCATGCTCCAGTGTCTGGCCAGGAGATTCCTAAGGACAAGTACAGGCATCAGCAGCAGGACCAGGCACAGGAGTCATCAGGAAGCTGGAGAGGAAAAAGGGAAGTTCTCCATCTGAATCCCTTCCTTGTAATTCTTTGTCATCCTTGGATCTACAGAAGTTTTTTTCTGTGAGTTTAATTCTTTGTTTATACATTTACACTGATGCCTTCAATGTGCACAGCTGGAAAACCGGTCAGTTTGGGAAATGGGGGTGGCAGATGTTTCTGCTTCTATGTTCTGTTTTCTTTTTCCCTTGGAGACAGGAGCAGCCCCCAACCTTCAGACACTTTTCTTATGGCCCCCAGCAGGGAGGGAGAGGGGTTTTTTTTGAGTGCTTCAGAAGCCCTTACAGCCTGAGGGTGTGAAAGTTCTTGTTCCCAATCCTCCAGGCCCAGGATCTGGCTCAGGGGGAGTGGACCCCATATCTCCTTGATTTTCTTCTGTTCTCAGTCTGGATGAACAGACCCACCCTTTTACAGGCATTTGTCCCAAAAGCAAATCATGTCTCAATACAGAGGTGCCGAAGCCACAGCCATCCGCAGTCCTGACACCTGCAGTTGGCCATGTTCTGTGCTGGTCAATTACCGGGTTTGGCAGAGGTGTGCACCTGCTGCTGCATGCTCCTCCCCTCTGCCCACCCTCAGTAGAACATCAGCTACTTCAGGGCAGGGGCGGTTTCATTGTCTCTGTATTCCCAGCCCCAAGCCCAGGGGTGCAAATCATTCTGGGCTCACTATCCGCAAACTGTATTGAGCAAATGTTTTTACAGTTTGGCACAGAAAAACAATAAAGAAATAATTGCATTTCCTTCCCTCCTACCCACAGATGAGTGTCTGTGGATGCAGAACACTGTGCAGTACACTGTTGGACTCAGTTCATATGATGGATTGTTCTGCTGAAATGTTTTTCTCTTCTTTTCTTATTCTTCCTTTTTTGAAAAAATTGACTCTATGGGAGGCAGTATATAGAATAAAAATTATGTAAAAGGAAAATTTATTTATAGGCATTTTAAAATATAAATAAATGGATGGATGAATTTATGAATTAATAAAAGTAAATGGATAAATAAATGAAATCATACATGCTTTAAATGAACAAACAAATGCATGTTACATTGAATTTAGTGGTTCAGCCCACCTCTAGGCCTGTCAATATAGGTTGTAGAAGAAGTCAAACCCCCACATCCTAAAGAAAGAGCAGAAAAGAGAAGGCAAATGGAGGGTGAATTGAGTGTGGTCAGAGAAGAAAGGAGAGAGAAATCCAACCCCAGTCTTCTTCAGAAGACTCTTTTCTGTGCCTCACTGTCACATCATGACAAGAGAAAGGAGGAAGGGGAAAATGAAACAAGCTTTTCTTGAGGGCCTACTATGTGCCAGGTAGATTGCTAAGCACTTTACAAATGTTATCTCCTTTGATCCTCTCTAAAACCCTTTGAGGTTGATGCCATTATTGATCTTGTTTTAGTTGAAGAACCTGAGGGAGACATATGTTAAGTGACTTGTCCGGGGTCACACAGCTAATGTGATTAATGAAAAGTCTGAGACACACACTTTCTTGGTAATTAATAATCAATTTAGCAACTGTAGCTAGCAAATAAGAGATTGCGGTCACTGGCACAGCCTAGAAGCCAAAGATGTGTCATGCCCCGCCCCCACCTCCTCTGAGAGAATAGAATGTTTCAAAAGCCTTTGGAAGGGTGGGAGGCCTGAAGACAGAAATCAACTCTGATTGGTTAAAAACCAATGAAGGGGTGGACAAGGACATGGGCTAAGAGCTTCACCTCCACTTGCTGAGGGTGTGATGAGGTTCAACGGCCTCAGTATCTGGACAAAGGTATCCATCTCTACCTGGACAATGAGCAATGAACAATGATGGAGCAAGAATGACAGCTACAAAAGATTCTTTTTGTAAGATCTAGTTGGCTAGGGTCCTACCTATGATGGAAAAGCCTGTACCAGGATCTCATCCATCAGCAATGTCCTTCAGAGACTGACTAACTAACGTGCAGGTGGCTGGTTTCTGAATGATGAAATAGGAGAGGAAAGTCTTAATCCTAATTGAATGTTTGGCTGTGAATATTAGAGAAATACTCATTTCTCTCACTCATAAGTGTCCTTGCTGCAGCCTCATACCTCTGTGAACTGGTGTACCGCTTAGCTGCTCCCAAAGAGAGGGAGTGGAGAGGAGGAGGCTCTGCCTCTTGAAGGTAGAAATGAAAACTCCCTGACTTGCTTCTGTGTCTGTGTGTCCTCAGGGCCTCTGAGAGGAGCAGGGCGTCCTGGGGCTGGGACCAACCACCATGGCTGCGTCCCCCACATCTGAACAGTTGGAATATGTTCACAACACCACAGGGGAAAGAAGTGCAAACGCGAGTTTCGTTCTTGCAGCACCTAGACAATTTGGCTTAAGTGACTGGATGTGGGCCCTCTGCCTGCTCATTGCCCTGGTTGGGCTGGTGGAGAACAGCATCGTCCTGTGGCTTCTGGGCTTCCGTATCCCCAGGAATCCCTTCTCTGTCTACATCCTCAACCTGGCCGGGGCCGACGCCCTCTTCCTCTGTTGCTCCTTTCTGATCTCCATAGATAAAGTTGTTGCCTATTTGTACAATTCTGTCACGTACAAGGTAGTGGCCTATGTCACATACATGTTCTACAGTGTGGGCCTGAGCTTCCTGTCAGCGATCAGCACCGAGCGCTGTCTCTCCGTGTTCTTCCCCCTCTGGTACCGATGTCACCGCCCCGAGCAGATGTCTGCAGCTATATGCGCTGTCCTCTGGGCTCTGGCCAGCCTGAGTGGGCTAACAAATTTCGTTGTTTGTTTTTATGTGCATACTCCACATTTCTGTCACGACTTCTTCATCATCGAGTTGGTGTGGTTCATCCTCTTCACATGTGTGCTGTGCGGGTCCAGTCTGACTCTGCTGCTGAGGGTCCAGTGCAGCTCCCAAAGCCAGCAGCCCCCCAGGCTCTACCTCCTTGTCCTGCTTACGGTCCTCGTGTTCTTGTTCTTTGGCCTGCCCCTGGAAATAGGAGATTTCATAGCGCGCTACGACATAGTTTTCATGCCCCTTTGGCTTCCTTGGCTCCTGGCCTGTGTGAACAGCAGTGCAAACCCCCTCATTTATTTCCTCCTGGGCAGCCAAAGACATAAAAAGAGGGAGCCCCTCAGGGTGGTCCTGCAGAGGGCCCTGGGGGATGAGGGGGAGGTAGGAGGTGAGACTAGAGACACTCCCCACGCCAACACCGCTGAGATGTCATCCTGAAGCTAAGAACGAAAGATTCAGACTAGAGAGCCCTGGAAATGAGCTCCTGCCCCAGGCCTTTCTGCAGCCCACCTCCTACTTCCCTGGGAGGGAAACCATGATTCCCTTTTCCATTGCTTTTGTTGGTGCCTAGGGTTTGAACTCTAAGTGATGGACAAACATTTACTATGTGCTGGGCAGTGCAGAGGATAGAGCTCCAGGGCCTGGAATGGGAAGACTTCAGTTCATGTCTGATCTGAGACACTTACCAAATATATGACTTTGGGCAAGTCAGGTAACTCTGTGTGCCTCAGTTTCTTTATCTGTAAAATGAGCCAGCAAAAAAAAAAAAAGAGGCAAACTATTCCAGTATATTTGTCAAGAAAACCCCAGATGGGGTCACAAACAGTCACATGACTGCACAAGAAGACTATGCCAGGCACTGCGCTAAGTGCTTTACAGACATCTCACTTAATCCTCACAATATCCCTGGGACATAGATGCTCTCATGATCTATCTCCATTTTACACCTGAGGAAACTGAGGCAGGCCGAGGTTCAGTGACTTGCCCAGGCTCCCAAAGTAAGTAAATGCCTGAGATTGCGTTTGAACTCAGATGTTCCTGGCTCCAGTCCCAGTGCTACTTTGGAGACCTCTAGCTTGCTGGAGGCTCCTTTGCCTGGGGAGTCAGGTCCAGGGCCTCATGTGTCACCAGCCCAAAGGAAGACGATGCCAATAAATGACCACTGGCCCTGTCTTGAAGAGTAGAGAAAGAGGAAAGACATCCTCTAGGGCCCCATGTCTCCCTGTCCTCTCCTAGAGAATCTCTTCAAATGAAGGCAGAGTCGGGGGTCAGACTCCTCAAGGCTCTGTGGGCCATGCTCCCCCACCTTGTCTTCTCTCAAGCTAGATCCACCAGGTTCCCTCAAGCCTTATTCATCCTCCCCTTGCTCTAAAAAGAGTAGATTCCAGCTCAGCCATGTCCCTATCCATTCCCTGCTAATGCTCCTTTCCCTTCCCCCCTCCCTCCATCATAAGAGTTGAGCCAAATGCTTCTCTCCCTCAAAAGGTCAAGGCTGAGGCTCAGCATCCTCTCTTCTTTCCAGTCTGGTTCTCTAGGCCTCAGTCTCTCTGAATCTCTGTTTCTATGTTTCTGTGACTCTCTCAATTCCAGTCTTTCTTTCACTCTAAATGACCCAGTTATTAATGAGGGCAGTTATTATAGGTTCTCATATATAGGGCATACCCTAATGAGACCAAAACAGGGAAAAGAGACAGATCATCTCACACACATACATATCACACACACCCCAAACACACACCTACTCAACATATATACATACCACACAGTGCAGAGAGAGAGAGAGAGAGAGAGAGAGAGAGAGAGAGAGAGAGAGGCATTGAACAACAATCTCCTATGGAATATTGCAACTGTGAGAGATCATTCAGCCTCCATTTGGTTCCTCCAGTGACAATGACCTTACTATTTTCTCAGTGGTCTCAGCTCCCATATTTTACCTTTTTCAGCCATGAAATGGTCTAATTGTATGGTGTTTTTCACTTCTATAATTTATATAATCAATTCTATTAATAATTTTCATCTAGGTAAACCATGCTTGCATTGCTTGTATAAATCTCACTTGGTCATAATATATAGTCTTTGTAATATATTGTGATTTTTTTAACTGGTATTTTGTTGAGAGTTTTTACATACATACTCATTAGTGAAATTGGTCTGTAACTTTATTCCTCTGTTTTTAATTTTCTTGGTTTAACTATCACTATAATATTTGCTTCATAAAAGGAGTTTGGTAGGATCCCTTCTTTGCCTATTATTCCAAATAATTTATTTAGTATTGGAATCAATTGATCTTTAAATGTTTAATAGAATTCCCTTGTAAATCCATCTAGTCCTGGTATTTTTTCCCTAGGAAGCTCATTTATGGCCTATTCAATTTTTTCTAAAATGGGTCTATTTAGATATTCTATTTCTTCTTCTCCTAATTGGGCAATTTATATTTTTGCCAACAGCCTTCCATTTCACTTAGATTATTAAATTTATTGGCATATAACTGTGCAAAATAACTCCTTATAATTGATTTAATTTCATCTTCATTGGTATTAGATTCACACTTTTCATTTTTAATACTAGTGATTTGGTTTTCTTCTCTCTTTTTTAATCAAATTAACAAGTTGTTTATCTATTTCATTTTTTCCTTAAAATCAACTCCTAGTTTTATTTGTTAATTCAATGTTTTTATGATCAATTTTATTAATTTCATCTTTAATATTTAGGATTTCCAATTTAGTGTTTAAGTGGGGATTTCTTGGGGATTTTTTTAACTGCTCTTTCTCTATTTTATTGATGGAAGTATTTGAAGATATAAACTTTTCTCTCATTCTTGCTTTTGCTGTATCCCACAGGTTTTGGCATGCTGTCTTGTTATTGGTATTTTATTTAATGAAATTATTAATTGTTTCTATGGTTTGTCCTTTAACCCACTCATTCTTTAAGATTAGGTGGTTTAATCTCCAATTAGCTTTTAAGGTATGTTTGGGTGGTGCTTTATTAAGTATAATTTTGTTGCATTGTGATCTGAGAAGGATATTTTTAATATTTCTGCTTTTAACTCTAAAATGTTTGTATGCTAATATATGGTCATTCTTTGTAAGGTTACCATAAACTTCTGAGAAAAAAAAGGGAATTTCTTTCTATTTCTACTCACTTCTCTCCAGATATCTAACATATTTAGCTTATCTAAAATTCTATTTTTTTTACTTCTTTCTTATTTACTTTTGGTTAAATATTGTCAGGTTCTGAGAGGGGAAGATTAAAGTCCCCCATTATTATAATACTACTATCTATCTCCACCTGTAATTTATTTAATTTTTCTTATAAAAATTTAGATGCTATTGTATTTGGTGCATATAAGTTCAGCACTGATATTGCTTCATTGTTGATGATATCTTTTATCAAAGTATAGTTACCCTGTTTGTCACTTTTAATTGAATCTATTTTAGCCTTAACTTTGCCTGAGAACATGATTGCCACCCCTGCCTTTTTTGCACCTGATGAAGCATAATAAATTCTGTCAATCCTCCATTTTTAACCCTATATATCATCCATTTCAAATGTTTCTTGTAAACAATATATTGTTGGATTCTGATTTTTAATACATTCTACTATCCATTTTCCATTTTAACTTATCCAGGAGAGTTGAGTATAATCCTTCATTTTATAAAATGGATATTTAATTGACTTAAAGACTTTCAGGTATTTTTGACAAAAAGACCAGAACTAAATGGAAAATTTGACATAGAAGATCCAGAAGAAATATAAGGAAAGCTTTAAAGACTAATTATAAGGGACTCATTAAGTTAAAACACTTTGTTTCTTAGGTATGAAAATGTTGTCGTCATTCCTAAGACTGACATCATTACCAAAGTAGTTTGAAAGAAAGGCTGGGCTGAGTTAAGTATGATAGGATAATTCTAAAAAACAAAATTGGTTTTTTTCTTTTACGTCATTTTATTGTTCAATATCATGCTCAATATCACCACCCCATTCAGAATCCATTTTTTAAATGAAAAAATAAAACAGAAAAAGAAAAATACTTCATTAAGACAAACTATCTTATGAATTATGTCCAAGAGTATACACAGTATTCCATAGCCCAATCACCCACCTGTGCAAAGGAGGGAAGGAAATGCAGTTAACACTTTATTGTTTTTCTGTGACAAACTCAAAAAGTATTTGCTCAAAACTTACTCTTAATTTTTTTACTTTTTTATTTCTTTAAATTAATTTTTAGTTTTCAACAATCACTTTCCCACACTTTTGAGTTTTAAATTTTCTCCCCCTTTTTTCCCACTGCCTTCCTCAAGATGTCATACAATATGATATAGGCTCTACCTTCATTCCTATTAAACATATTTTCACATCAGTCATGTTGTAAAGAAGAATTAGAACAAATAGGAGGAACCACAAGAAAGAAGAAACAAAACAAAAGGGAAAAAAAGATCAAATAGTATGCTTTGATCTGCATTCAAACTCCATAGCCCTTTCTCTGGATGTGGATAGCATTTTCCATCATGAGACTTTTGGAGATGTCTTAGATCCTTGTATTACTGAGAAGAGCTAAGTCTATCAAAGATATTCATCACACCACATGGCTATTATTGTGTACACTGTCCTCACTGTTCTGCTCACTTCACTCAGCGTCAGTCCATACAAGGCTTTTCAGGCTTTTCTGAAGTCGGCTTGCTCATCCCTTCTTATATCGCAATAGTATTCCATTACATTCATACACTTGTTCAGCCATTCAAGGCACAAGTGGATGTGACTTGAAGGGCCAATTGATTAAAAATCACACAAGTTGGACAAGTGGCTGTCATGCATGTTGCCACTAGGGTGGTGTCTGGAGTAACCCACTCTTGCTCAATGAAATCTGTTAACTCTTGTGTGCCACAATGACACCCCTTTAATGAACCAAAGAATATATACCTGGTGATAGAATTTCTGGGGAGGAGTGGCTTACCTTCCTCAGTCCACTCAGACCCAAGAGACCTGTATAACTTCTTCACTACAAGTTCATGCACAGCAAATAGTTGGTTCAAAACAATAGCACTAAAAGGTACACTTACAGAAGTTTACAAAGAATCTCAAATGATACCCACTTATTCAAAAATTTCACTTCTCCACTTTCAGAGGCAGTTTCTTAGATGGCAGTGCTGATAGGTTTCACACTACCCTGTGATCAGGGCTCATCCCAAGGAACTTCACAGACAAAGATCTCCTAAAAGGACTTCACCATACTTTTCTCCCAACAGTAAGTTATTTCTTATTGTTATCATCATCATTATTACTACTACTACTACTACTACTACTACTACTACCACCTAGGTTTTTTACACAAAATATGTTCTAATAACCATATAAGAGATATATTTATAATGTTACAGTATTCATATTGAAAAGAGGAAGAAATATGCTTTAAAAACTTTTCTTAAGTGATAATAATTTAACTAAATACCTTCCAAATGTATTAATCCATAGAAAGGCATTTCTCTCATTACACGTGGCATTTTCATGCTAATCATAGCAGTTTACATAGCCCCCATGCAGTACCAAGCTTTTTCTGTCTTGAAAGTTGCTTAATCCTGTTTTTAGTAACACTTTAAAATATTTAGTCTATGATTTCCAAATTCAGTCAACATTACATGCCAATTAGAAACAAGTACCTGTAAATGAGATGACATTTTGTTCACTTGTGTTCCTACAAGGTCTGAGCACTGCAGTGCTCACCCTTTACACAAGCCAGGTGCTGTGGTAAGCACTGTACAACCACGTATTTCTTCCAACCCTGGCAGATAGGTGTAAATATTTATTATTCCCTTTGCACATACAAGGACTGATTAGATTCTCTCATTTATTACCATTACAATATTTTCAGCCCAATCAGTTTTGACTTAGAATGATTAGTGACAATAACTCAACTTCATTTTTCTCAATATTCCATTATTTTTATTTTGCTTATATTCAAAATATTCATGGTGCTATTCCCAATTTCTCATTACTGTACCTTTGTTTCTTTGAGTTACCCAAAGAGCCAAACCCATTCCTCTAAATTTTCAATAATTGATCCTTTACCTTAAGTATTTATACCAGAGCAAAGAGACAATCCTTTCTCTATCAATCAATTAATATGCATTTTACGAAACTTACTTGGTACTCTTACATTGATTAGGGAAGAAAGACACCTAGCAACTATCAAAGGGCATTGCTTTCAAAAAACATTCTGAAATCTTTTCTGTTTCAGTGGGATGAAGATGCTCTCTGAAATCTCCTTTTCAAAACTCTAAAACCCTTTACTTTGAAATCCTGGATTTACCCTCTCAGTGCAAACAAACTCCAACTTTGTTTACCCTAGGACTCATCCTTCACTTTTCTTATTTCCTCAATGCAACATTACTCTTTCTTTCTTCTACTCACTGAATTCCTCTAGTAAACCCCTTTTTGGTCCTTCAGTGGTTACAAAGGCTCAGTTCATCTCAATTTCTTTAAGGGCTTTTGGGCAATTAGAATTAGTTACAGTCCCATAATTTTTTGTAAATTGCAGGCAAATAGACCCCCAAAACAACTCACTTAGCACAAGTTCCTCATTATAGGGTGACACAGATTTCAGTAAGCAGGATGACTTGAGAAGAAATCATCTTTCTCCTCAACTTTGATGTCTTTTTTGCTGGAAAGGCATTCATTCAGCTCTTTTGGCAATGCTCAAGGGGATCAGACAAAGCCTAGCTATGGCACAGGAATAGAACAGAAATTGAACTACTGCAAAACTATCTGATAGAGATTGGATTTTTCTGAAGGGCTCAGGGTGCAACTTTTTCTCCATTTCCTTTCAAATCACTCAAAATTAAGTCCATTTATTTTGGTTTTTAAATAATTTGCAAGCTCTGCTTTTCCTCTCTAAATTTCAGGATTTTATACCTTTACAAACCATATGCTCATTTCAATCCAATCTTTAGTGATCTTGGCATTCTTGACCATCAGTGACTATGCTCACTTATGGCTTTTGATGGTTTTCAGAGTAGCCAGCCTTACTTTTAAAGCTGCTGTCACTGTAAGCTGCTCCAAATGGCCTTGGTGTGGTTGTTATAAGTGCTAATACCATGAAAGCTCCTAAGCACCTTTCTCTCCTATTAAAGGGTTACAGGGCTCCACCCCCAGCACCCACTCTCTGGAGTTGGTCTCACAGTGCTCTGCTCCTCCAGTCACAGGTGCCACTGCCAGCAATGTTGCCTTTTCCCCATTCCCCTTGTTGTGTAAACTGAACTATTCCTTATATTTTGAAGGCTTGGGAAACAGGGGATCCCTGCCCTGAAGTCACATGGTTCAATCCCCTTCAGCCTTTATGAGAGGTTTCTAGAGATCTGTTCACAGGCTTGGTGTCCTGGCTCAGGAAGACTAAGATTCCCAAGGAGGCCCTACCTAGTGGCACCTCTATTAGGTGTTCATGCACTTAATTTATTCCTGTATCTATCTTTCTTTCAGGACATATTCTTGTTTAATTCTATCCTCAATAATTCTTTGCTTAACTTACTATGGCTTCATTTATGTAATTTAAACTTACTTTCACTAACCAGTTGGTTTCAACACAAGTTGTACTGTGTTTTTAATTTACCTAAACAATTGCCTTAAACTGCAGTAGAATCATTAAGCTTCACTTACCTTCCGTTACTATCTGATTTCCAAACAAGTTTTCTTTCTCTGGGAGCACTTTGGAATCTCCTTCTATCTGGATTCCTAATCAGGACTTTTCTGGTGCCCTTGGATTGGTTGTTTAAAGGCAGTAAACAGAAGGGTAACTGAACCCCAATTCTACGCACTTTCATTTTTTCTGAACATGGTCTAAAATTTCTTTGTCCTCGCTTCTAATAATGAAAATTCCTTCCTGCAATAAACTTAACCCAATTTCCAGTAGTTTTTAAATTTGCCTTTATTCTACTCTAAAATTAAAACCAGTTTCACAGATTGATACCCAAAACTTCAGACCTAGAGATTGGCTACCAGAAACTTCTTCAGGCTCTGCAAATGGGTTTCTTCTTTAAACTCTGAGTTGCAAAATTATTTAAGCTGACACGAGTTTTATTCTAATTTCTCCTATACTGTACCAAAAGTTTTTCTTATTCTAACACTTCTCTGAATTCCTATTTCACTGAATCTCTCCTGAACATGTCTCCTGACTAACAAGACAGTTCTTAGACTGCAAGGCTCCAAATCAAGTTTTAGCCATTTTCAAAGTTCCTTTTAAGAAATAAAGGATCTGTGAACTTGTTGTTTTGGTTACTGTTGTTTTCCTTAAACTCTACAGAGTTTGATAGTACCTTGTAAGCACATCAAAACACTTTATGAAGACGCCTAAATTATAATTTAGAAAGGAAAGAAATTTCATTAGTCTTTTTTCACAAATTTGGTTTCCAATCATTTTTTAAACTTAGTTTACAATTAATTTCTGTATCTGTCTTTCATCTCAGCAGTCTCCAACATGGCCAGTATTGTGAACAGAGAAAAAAGAGAGATTTGTCCTCCTTTAAGCCCTTTTTCATTTGTTTACAGCCTGTTTCATTTGATCACACCGAAAGAAAAGGTTTAGGTAAAACATGTGTTAGCTATGAGTTAGCATAAAGCATGATTGGCATGACTCAAACAGACACTAATTTCCCATTCTCTTAAAGGTCCCTTTCTATCTGACGTAAAGATCCCGTTATGCCTGAACTTGGTTTTATCATTTACAAAGCAGACCCACACAGAGCATAGAACAAGACACAACATGAAATCAGGACTGAACTTCTAGTTTTTTCTCCAGAAGATTTTGGAGTCAAGATCTTACCTGTCTCCTCTATTAAGTAGAGAACTTGTGACCATCTTGTGGTTGGGGTCCTGCTGCCAGCCTAAGATAATTCTTCTGCTTCCCAATTATGTTAATGCGTTTAGAATCTTATCAATAAAACGTGTAATTTAGTAACAATACAAATTGCTTTACTCTAAGTTGCCAATTGCGTTCACCCATTTAAAGTTCATCTTATATTTAGAAGTCCCTGCAAGATAGAAGAGCTGGTTAAAGTTCCATTCCTCTAGACCATAGGTTTCCAAAGTGGGTAAAACCACCCCCTGGGGACACTGGAATGATTGGGGGGGAGCAGTGGTAGTAGCCTCAGGGGCAATTAGGGGTTATTGAATAAAAATAAGGGGGAAGGGGAAGCATAAGAAAAGAGGAGAAGTTAAGGAAATTTTGAAAAACAGTATATGTCTCATTGTTGTGTAACAGAGTTAAATACATAATGATTATATTATTTTCCAAATAAACACACAAAACGCCAGTTATAACTGATCTGTGGTCAAGTCTGTCTTAACAAGCAAGTGTTGGAGTACGTGGAGCATTGTCAGGAAGTCCAGCATGCATCAGCAGGAATATGTGCTTATAATGACATGTTTACCATATGACACTATATGATTACATGACACAATACTGTGTCACCAAAATTTCTATGCAGGAAAAAACAACAAATTTATAATGAATTATTAAATTTGAATTGTGTCATTTTTTAAAAATTGGTTTTTTTTTGAAATGATGCAATTTTTTTTAAAATGGTAAAGAGTTAAATGAAGCAGATTTCTGGAGGGGTGTTGAGTAATATTTTTTAAAAGTGGGTGGTAGAGCAGAGAAGTTTGGGAACCTCTGCTCTAGACTTTTTGCCAAAGTTCCTTTATAAGTGAATATTCAGCAAAATTTCTCCCAGTTCCCCTTTCAAACTTGCTGAACATTTAGTTCTGATTGTCAATGACCAACTTCATCCTAAGGCAGTAGAAGTGACAATCACCTTTCCCTCTCCTCATCTCTGTAAAATGAAAATGAGCCTTCTTCCTGGGCCAGAAGAGGGGCGGATTGCTCTCTGATTGGTCACAGCCTTGACAGTGAGGTGAGGAATCTCTCCCCAAAGGCTGTCAGGTCTTCCCTGAATTACTGCTCCCTCAAGGTGGTGTCAGAGCACTGGGGAATCACTCCCCCAAGCCCTACCTATCCAGTTACTGGTCATAGGGTCCTCTAGATGGGTACCTCACTCCACTATGAGCCACTGAAAGTTCCCCTTAAACCAATTTCAGAGATTTCTCCACTAATGACAAAAAAGATTTAATAACTGCTGGTTGAAAGAATTTAAAGTCATAAAATCTATTTTAATCCTGCCAACCAGAAGTTTTAAAATCAGCTAGGTGGCCAGCTGGCTGAAAATGAGGCCCTAGCAATTCCACTGCTGAATCTCTCTAGTCTTTACAAAATGAAAATAAGAAAAATGGAGGGGGAAAAACAGCAGTCTGTGTAGAAAAATTGGGGCCATATATTTTAAAAATAAAATGAAATATGAGTGCTCCAGACCTTATAAATTTAGACAGATAAGTCACAAGCTCAAATAGTCCCTCTTAGCCCAATCGAGGGCCCTTCTTAAAATGAATTTGGGCTAAATCAAGGTGGACTCACCAATCTTGAAGACTTACTTCAGGCTCAGAGAATGTGGGTGCAAACAATGAGGGGAGTCCAACCTTCCAGGACCCATGTCTGTGGGGAAGCCATCCTCAAAAATCTAACCCCTTAGGGCAGCTAGGTGGCACAGTGCATAGAGCTCTGGCCTTGGAGTCAGGAGGACCTGAGTTCAGATCTGGCCTCAGACACTTGACACTTACTAGCTGTGTGACCCTAGGCAAGTCACTTAACCCCAATTGCCTCACCAAAAAGAAAGCAAAAAAAAAAAATCCAACCCCTTATGCACTTCCTTTTTGGGTCCCTTGAAGGGACTGGCCCAAAAAAGTTGAGGTCCACACATTGCAGTCCCATCTCAGAGTGCCATTAATGTGGAGATTAAAATTGTTCAACCTACAACAAGAGAGACTGAGGCACAGCTCTGATCCAATGGTACTTTGTTAAAGTGTCATTGACCCCTCTAATGAAGTAGACCTCATATCTTCCTCCTGATCTAAGATGACCCATTCTTCCAGTTTCTGATATCTATAGAGTTTAATACCCAAAAGAGGCACGGCAAAATACAAAATCTCATTGGTTGACAAATGATGCATAAGCTTAAATAAGTAAAAGTGATATATCATCAGGGTCAAGAGTTGGGTACAGTAAGGAATATCTCCATTTACTAGGTGGTCACAAGATGGTCACTTGCTCTGGGACAAGTGACAGAGATCTGGAGGTACAAAAATAAGTTGGAAGATTTTCTACATAATTTAGTCATCTCTGCCACACTGGGTCACACTGCCACCATGACAAGGAAAAACAAGGGTGAAAGAGCCTCTAGTTAACTTCCTATGATTAAGCAACTGAACCTACAATCTGAAGCTCACAGCTCCGGAGCCTAATATACAGAACTTATAATCACTACACCTTTAGAATCACATCAAATTGATTAGCACTGATTGGAATAGAATACAGGTCCAAAGGAATTATTTCTCAATACAAGTGATTGGGGAACAGTCACCCCATCTCTCTGTCACTGAGGATCCCTGCCTAAAGATGATGTTGTAAAGGAAGGAAAGAAAAGGACAAGATCTGAGACCCTAAAGATAGCAAGAGGACAAGTATCAGATTGGATCTTCATGGACAGCTGAGCAAAAAGGAAAATACACAATTTCAAATAAACTAAGTGGCCCACAAGGGATATTTCATCCTTACACTGTAGAAACCATGACTGATAAATACCCAAGGACAATGGGAAAAAACAGTGGATTGGGGATAATGGGCCACACCAATCCAACAGTAACTCCACTGATACACTAGTAAAGAGACAGGTGTTTAGAGAGAAGCTTTATCTGGACTTGAAGGCTTTGGGAAGTTCATGTCCTGAGGCCAGTGTTTGGGAAATCCCCACCCTTGGTGCCTGGAATGCAAATGGAAAATCTCTTTTCCTGGGCCTATGTAATTGGGAGTAGAGGGAGGGTAATATAGGGGTAAGAGAGGAACTGTCCTGAATCCTGCCCCTATCCCACCCCTCAGGCCCCAGTGTCCGGCCAGGAGATTCCCGAGAAGGACAGGTGCAGGCATCAGCAGCAGAACCAGGCACAGCAGTCATCAGGAACCTGGAGGGAAAAAAAAGGGAAGTTGACAATCTGGGGCCCTTCCTTGTAATTCTTTATCATCCTTGGATCTAGTGAAGATTTCTCTGTGAGTTTAATCTTTCCTTTATACGTTTATATTGATCACTTCAAAGTGCATAGCTAGAAAACTGGTCACTCTGGGAAAGGGGGGAGGGCACAGAAGTTTCCCCTATTGTGTTCTGATGTTTTCTCTTTCCCTTGGAGACAGGAGCAGACGCCAACCTTCAGACACTTTTTCTTATGGCCTCCAGCAGGGAGAGAGAGTTTTCTTTGGAGTGTTTCAGAAGCCCTGCAGCCTGAGGGTGTGAAAGTTCTTGTTCCCAATCTTCCAGGCCCAGGATCTGGCTCAGGGGGAGTGGACCCCATATCTCCTTGATTTTCTCCTATTCCCAGTCTGGATGAATAGACCCACCCTTTCACAGACAATTGACCCTAAAGCACATCATTTGTCAATAAAGAGGAGCTGGAGGTATAGTAATCAGCAGTCCTGACACCTGCAGTTGGTCATGTTCTGTGCTGGTCAATTACCGGGTTTGGCAGAGGTGAGCACCTGCGGCTGCATACTCCTCCCCTCTGCCCACCCTCAGTAGAACATCAGCTACTTCAGGGCAGGGGCGGTTTCATTGTCTCTGTATTCCCAGCACCAAGCCCAGTGGTGAAAGTTATTCTGGGCCCAGTAGCTCAAAAGATTAAGTACTGAGCAAATGTTTATTGCCATTTGACACAGAAAAAATAAAGAGATCATTGCATTTCCTCTCTTGTTTCCAGAGGTGGGGGACTACGGCCATAGAACACTACGTAGTACACTGTTGCACTTAGTCCATATGATGGTTAGTTGTCCTGAAATACTTTTTATCTTCTTTTTTTATTCTTTGATTTTAAAAAAATTCACTCTATAGTGGGACAGTATATAGAACAATAGAAATTATGTGAAAGGAAAACTTATTGATAGAAATTTTAAAATATAAATAAACAAATGAAAGATTTTATGAATTAATAAAATAGTAAATGAACAAATCAATGCATGCATGCACACATTAAATGAATAAATAGATGTCTGTTGCTTTAAATTAAATCGTTCAGTCCACCCTATCTTGTTCACATAGGCTATAGAAGGAAGCAAAACTTGCATATACTTTAAAAAAAAGCCAGAACAGAGAGAAAAATGAAGGGCAATTTGGAGGTGAAGACCATTGCGTGTGGTCAGAGAAGAAAGGAGAGACAATGTACTCCCAATCTTCTCCAGAAGACTCATTTCTATACTTCATTGTCATTATGACAAGAGAAAGGGGGAAAGGGGGAAATGAAACAAACTTCTTTTAAGGGCCTACTGTGTGCCAGGCACAGGCTTAAACACTTTACAAACATTATCTCATTGGATTCTCTGAAGAACCCTGTGAACTTCGTGCTATTATTGGCCTCATTTTACGGTTGAGGAACCTGAGGGAGACAGATGCCAAGTGACTTGTCCAGGGTCACACAGCTAATGTGACTAATGAAAAGTCTGAGAGAAGTAATTTCTGGGTAATTAATAATCAATTTATTAACTATGGCTAGAAAATAGCAGATTGAGGTCACTGGCATTCCTAGAAGCCAAAGATGCCTCCCCTACCCTGAGAGAATTGAATGCTTCAAAAATCTTTGGAAGAGGGGGAGGCCTGAAGGTAGAAACCAAGTCTAATTGGTTAACAATCAATGAGTGGTGGACACAGAGATTGCCTGAAAGCCATCAGCTCTACCTACTGAGGGTGCTGCGGTGAGGTTCAGCTGCCTCTAGCTATCTGGACAAAGGTATCCATCTTTATCCGGTCGATGGATAATGAACAATGGTAAGGTAAAAATAACAGCTACATAAGATTGTCTTTCCAAGATTTTCTAGTTGGTTGGGGTCTCACCCATGATGGAAAAGCATGTAGCTGGATGAATTTGGCAATCTCATCCATCAGCAATGTCCTTCAGGGATTGACTGAAAAACCTAGAGGGGCTGGTTTCTGAATGAGGAAATAGGAGGGGAAAGTCTTAATCCTAATTGAATAATTGGTTATTAATATGAGTGAAATTATCATTTCTCTCACTAGTAAGAGACTAGGTTTTAATTCCTTTCTTAGTCTAGAGGCCAATACCTCTGCGCACTGTGGTGCCACCTAGCTGCATCCTAGAGAGAGGGAGAGGGGAAGAGAGGCTGTAACTCTTGAAAGTAGAGATGGGAGTAAACCTCTGGAAAAGTCCCTGATGCACTTCCTTGTCTTTGTGTCCCTAGGGCTTTTGACCTGGGGCTAGGACCAACCAGCATGGCTGCGTCCCACTCACCCGAGCTGTGGGAATATAGTCATGACAGCGCAACGGAAAGAAGTGCAAATGGGAGTTTAGTTCCTGGGGCTGAGACACCAGGAAAACTTTTTTCGGGTGACTGGATACGGATTCTCATTCTGCTCGTTGCCCTGGTTGGGCTGGTGGGGAACAGCTTCGTCATGTGGCTCCTGGGCTTCCGCATCCAGAGGAACCCCTTCTCCGTCTACATCCTCAACCTGGCCGGGGCTGACTCCCTTTTCCTCTGTTGTACCTTTCTGGTCTGCATGTATGAATTGTTTAGATATTCACTTCTTTCTTTCATGTACAATATAATGCGGTACCTCATGCACGTGTTTTACACTGTGGGCCTGAGCCTCCTGGCTGCAATCAGCTCCGAGCGCTGTCTAGCCGTGCTCTTCCCCCACTGGTACCAATTTCGTCGCCCCAAGCATACATCTGCTGCTGTGTGTTCTGTCCTCTGGGCTCTGAACGGTCTGTTTGAGGTAGCAGATCATGTCAGTTGTTTTTTTGAGCATCTCTGTCTCCCCTACGTTATCATCGAGTTCGTGTGGTTCATCCTCCTCACCTGTGTGCTGTGTGTGTCCAGCCTGACTCTGCTGCTGAGGGTCCAGTGCAGCTCCCAACACAAGCAGCCCCCCAGGCTCTACCTCCTGGTCCTGCTCACGGTCCTCGTGTTCCTGCTCTGTGGCCTGCCCCTCCAGGTGCAAGATTATATACATCCCTTAGACGTAGTTTTCGAGCCTTATTGGATCTGTCAGCTCCTGGCCTGTGTGAACAGCAGTATAAACCCTGTAATTTACTTCTTCCTGGGCAGCCAAAGGCATAAAAGAAGAAGGGAGCCCCTCAGAGTGGTCCTACAGAGGGCCCTGGGGGATGGCCAAGAGTTGGGAAATGAGACTAGGGACACCTCCCACACCAACAGCCAGGAGACATCTTTCTGAGGCTAAGAACAAGATGCACAGACTCCAGAGTCCTTCAAATGAGTCCCTTGCTCCAGGCCCACCTGCAGCCCCCTTCCCACTCCCTGGGAGGGAAACCATTGTTCTCCCTTCCAACCCTTGTGTTAGTGCCTAGGGTTTGAACTCTAAGTGATGAACAAACATTTATTCGGTGCCTACTACATGCAAAGCAACTGGACAGTGCAAAGGATAGAGCTCCAAAGCCTGGAATGGGAAGAGTTGAGTGCAAATCTGGCCTGAGACACTTACCACCTGCATGACCCCGGATAAGTCACTTAACTCTGTTTACTTCAGTTTCCTCCTCTGTAAAATCAGCTAGCAAAAGAAATACCAAACCGCTCCAGTATCATTGCCAAGAAAAACCCAGCTGGGAATGATAAAGAGTCACATGACTGAATGACGAGACTGTACAGGTACTGTACTAAGTGTTTTACAAATATCTCACCAAATCCTCACAATATACCTGGGAGGCAGGTGCTCTCGTGACCCACATTTTACACTTGAGGAAACTGAGGCAGGTAGAGCTTCAGAGAGGGACTTGCCCAGGATGCCAAAGTAAATATTTGAAACTGGACTTGAATTCATGTCTTCCTGACTCCAGGCCCAATGCTCTGTGTACTTTGGATCCCCTGTCATGCTGGAGGCTTCTTGACCTGGGGAGTCAGGTCCAGAACCTCATGTGTCACCAGCCCAAAGGAAGACAAATGGCCACTGGCCCTGACTTGAAGAGTACAGGAAGAGGAAAGACATCCTCTAGGGCCTCATGTCTCCCTGTCCTCTCCTAGAGAATCTCTTCAAATGAAGGCAGAGTCAGGGGTCAGACTCCTCAAGGTTCTATGGGCCAAGCTCACCTACCCTGTCTTCTTCTCTCAGGCTTGATCTACCAGGTTCCCTCAGGCCTTGTTCCCCCTAGCCCTGCCCTAAAAGGGGGAGATTCCAGCTCAGCCATGTCCCCCTCCATTCCCTGTTAGTGCTCCTTTCCCTTTCCCCCTCCCACTCCCATCATAGCAGTTGAGTCAAATACTTCTCTCCCTCTGAAGGTCAAAGCTGTGGCTTATCCTCTCTTCTTTCTAATCTATTTCTCCAGGCCTTTGTCTCTCTGAGTCTCTGTGTTTCTATGTTTCTGTGATTCTCTCTATTCCAATCTCTCTTTTACTCTGAATGACCCAATTCCTGATGAAGGCAGGTATTGTAGGAGTGTTGTAGGAGGGGATGCACCCTAACAAGACCAAAGCAGGGGAAAGGGGACCCATCATCTCACAAACATATATATCACACACCCCATACACATGTCACCCAACATACATACTCCACACACACACACACACACACACACACACACACACACATACACACATACACACACACACACAGAGGCATTGAACAACAGTCTCCTATAGAATATCTTCACTGTGAGAGATCATTCAGCCTCCATGTGATTTCTCCAGTGACAATGACCTTGCTCTTTCGTCAGTGGTTTTGAGTCCCAAAAAATTATCTGGTCCTGCCGTGGAATGATGTGATGTGATTTTTTTAAACTTTTTTTATTTGTATGTTCAATTTTTCTATTAATTTTCCTTATGTTAAACCATCCTTGCATCCCTGGTAATAACGTATCCATTTCATCATGATCTATAATCTTTGTAATATACTCCTGTGATCTTTTAGCTAGTATTTTATTTAAGATTTTTGTATCTATATTCATTAAGGAAATTGGTCTATAATTTTCTTCATCTGTTTTGACTCTTCCTAGTTTACATATTGGTATTATATTTAGCTCATAAAGGGAGTTTTGTAGGATCCCTTTTTTGCCTATTATTCCAAATATATATTTTTTGTGTCAGAATTAGTTGATCTTTAAATGTTTAATAGACTCCATTTGTAAATGGATCTAGTCCTGGTGCTTTTTTCTTAGGAAGCTCATTTATGGCCTGTTCCATTTCTTTTTTTTTTCTTTTTTTTTCTTTTTTTTTTTTTGGCTAGGCCAAGGAGTAAACTGACTTGCCCAGGGTCACACAGTTAGTATGTGCCTGAGGCCAGATTTGAACTCAGATCCTCCTGACTCCAAAGCCAGTACTCTATCTGCTGTGCCACCTAGCTGCCCCCATTTATTTTTCTAAAATACATCTAATTAAATTTTCTAATTCCTCTTCTGCTAATCTTGGCAATTTATATTTTTGCAAACACTCTTGTATTTCACTTAAATTATTAAATTTATTGGCATGTAACTGGGCAAAATAACTCCTTATAATGATTTCATTTCATCTTCATTAGGGTTAGATTCACACTTTTTATTTTTAATACTAGTGATTTAGTTTTATTCTCTCTTTTTCAAAATCAAATTAATCAATTATTTATGTTTCATTGACTTTTTTCTAAAAATCAACTCCTAATTTTATTTATTAATTCAATGAGTTTTTTACAATCAAATTTATTAATCTCATCTTTAATTTTTAGGATTTCCAATTTGTGTTTAATTGAGGATTTTTAGTTTGTTCTTTTTCTATTTTTAAGTTCATAATAAATTCATTGGTCTGCTCTTTCTATACTTTTTGATGTAAGTATTTAGACATATGAATTTTCCTCTGATTCTTGCTTTTGCTATATCCCATAGATTATGTATGTTGTCTCATTATTGGCATTTTCTATAATGAAATTATTAATTGTTTCTATGATTTGTTCTTTAACCCACTCATTCTTTAAAATTAGGTTATTTAATCACTGGTTAGTTTTTAATCTATATTTCTGCAGTCCCTAATTAAATATAATTTTTATTGCATTGTGATCTGAAAAGGATACTTTTAATATTTCTACTTTTCTGCTTTTAAATATGAAATTTTTCTATCCTAATATATGGATGGTCTTTGAAAAGATATAATAAACTGCTGATGGGAAAAGGAAAGGTGTATTTCTATTTCAATTCTCTGCAGATATTTATCATATCTAGCTTATCTAAAATTCTAATAATTTCCTTGACTTCTTTTTTTTATTAAATTTTGGTTAGATTTATCAAGTTCTGAGAGGAGAAGATTAAAATCCCCCACTATTATAAAATTAATATCTGTCTCTCATTTAACTTTTCTCTCAAAAATCTGGATGGGGCAATTAGGGGGTGCAATGGATAGAGCACTAGCCCTGGAGTCAGAAGGACCTGAGTTCACAACTGGCCTCAGACGCTTGACACTTACTAGGTATGTGACCCTAGGCAAGTCACTTAACCCCATTCCCTAGCAAAAAAAAAAAAATTAAATAATAATAATAATAGAAATATAAATGCTATTGTATTTGATGGATATAAGTTCAATATTGTTATTGCTTCATTGTCTATGGTATCTTTTATCACAATATAGTTAGCCAATTTATGTCTTTTAATTAAGTTTATTTAACCTTAACTTTACCTGAGATAATGATTGCTACCCCTGCCTTTTTTGCACTAGGTGAAGCATAATAAATTCTGTGCCAACCCACCATTTTAAATCTGTGTGTATTTCCCATTCTTAAATGTGTTTTTGTAAGCAACATATTGTTGGATTATGATTTTTAATTCATTCTGCTATATGTCTTCCATTTTATACTACCCAGCAGAATTGAGTATAATCCTTAATTTTTAACAATCAACATTTAATGAACTGAAAGAATGGTCAGGTATTTGTGACAAAAAGACCAGAACTAAATGGAAAATTCTATATAGAATATCCAGAAGAAATATAAGGCTAACATTAAAGATTAATTTTAAGGGATTTATTAAGTCCAAACAGTTTACTTCTTAGATATGAAAATGTTATCAGTATTCCTAAGAATGTCATTATTAACACAGTAGTTTGAAAAAAAGGTTGGGGCTGTGTTAAGTATTATGGGGTGATTCTGATAAACCTGATTGGGGAGCAAAAAGTAAAAAGGAGTAATTATCTCATACAAATGGGACATAAAAGAAAGAATTGATGTAGAAGAAACGGGGGCAGGGGTGTGGGCGCATGAGATCTGATAGTGCTGGAACCTTACTCTCATAGGATCTGTGTTAAAGAGGGAACAACATATACATCTAAAAGGGTATTAAAAAGTCTTCCAGCGAGCAGAGCCAAGATGGCAGAGTAAAAGCAGTGACTTCCTTGAGTCCTCCCCAAAACCTCTCAAAATACCTGTAAAAATGGCTCTAAAAAATTCTAAAGCAGCAGAACCCACAAAAAGACAGAGTGAAACAAATTTCCAGCCCAACACAACTTGGATGGTTAATTGGAAAGGTCTATCGCACTATGCAGGGAGAGGAACACAGTTTGGCATGGGCATGCAGGCAAACCAGGCCTCAGCAAACCTGGAACAGGCCTCACAGGACTGAATCACAGGCAGCTGTGGCATTGTCCAGACCTCTCAAACCATGAACGCCAAAAAGAACTTAGAAGGTCAGTAGGAAAAGTCTGTGTCTGCAGTGAGAGAGAAGCCTGGTCCCAGCCTCAGTCCCTGAGTGTGGTGCTGGGGCAACAGCTGCTTCTGGAGCTTCCAGCCAACAGACTGAGGGAGAATCAAGTGACTGATCAGAGGGAGATTGTAGGGATCTCTTTGCTGGTGCAGGATTCTCTTGCTTTGCCCATGCTTGGATCTGGGTCATGCTTCTGGGTGGCAAAGAGGAGCACTGGCATGGTGGAGTTTGTAGTGTAGAGAAAATCCTCCTCACAGTTCCAAGACACAAAAGAGTGCTTGTGGTCACTCATAGACCCAAGCACAGGACAGGAAAGGAGTAAACACTTTGCCCTTGATCATAGCACTTTGGAAGAAATGAATATTTATAGGTCCCTAGAAGTATCTCTGAAAACAGCTGCACAAAACCCCCGAAGCTTGGGACAGTACATTCTCCACAATGGAAGCAGACCTCTCCCTTAATGAGGAGTTTTTAACTCAAATAATTGTCTGGGATCATGAGCAAGCAGAGCAAAAAGAGTCAGACCATAGAATCTTACTTTGATGACAAAGAAGATCAAAACATA